AGACCTATGGTCTATCCCTAGTACCACCTCCTCCAAATAAATAAGTCTAGAATATTTACACATTTAAAAAGCTATCCAAAACAAAGAAATGCTATTTAATAGGGAAATTGGTAAAGAGAACAAACATGCTTATCTTTGTCTCACCTGTAGTGAGCAAAATGTAAGTTAAAGTAACGAGGTACTATCACTCCATCGTACTAGCAAAAATAAAAAAGCCCAACATACTGGTTTGGGGCACGATGTAGAGAAATAGTATTCCCAGCTTGGATCCCAGAAACAATCCCTTTAGAAAGTCATATGGCAACATCTTTAGGGCCTGAAGCACTTATGATAAAACAGAAATTACACAAAGTGTGAAAAAATAAAATGGAAATAAAGTCAGTATTTCTTTCTGTCTGGCTAGTGCCCCGACATCCGGCTCAAATCCTGAACTTCATGTCAGTCCTTTGCTTTATTTTACTCTTTTATCCTATAGTACTCATCCCAGGAAGGATAATGCTTAGTTTTCTGTGGTCTTTGAACCTTTTGTCAATGATAGTATAACATCACACATGCACGTAATCACAAGTGTTTACTGTTGAAGTGTAATGTGATTTTTATTTTTGAGATTCACCCAAATATATGTGTATACTCTGTAGTTTACTTATTTCTTACTGCTAAATTGGAATTTAAAGATTTCATGTTACTTTGCTTGTTGCTCCCAGAATTTAAGGGAGGAAAGCTTGCATGATCTGCTGGGGAAGGAGCCTGGTGGTATGGAGCTGAATATGGACACCTGCAGAGAAAAACGGCAGAGTTGGTTAAGGAGAGAAACTCTTTCAGGCTGTGCCCTACCGACTGCCTCTTCTGATCCAACCCCGCCCCAGCAGCAAATCAGCTATAAGCCCCATAGTCCAATCCCTTTCCAAAAGCCCTGCCTATGAGTATACAAGGCTCTCTGGGGAAATCTACATATAAACCACACATTTGCTTTATTTTTTCATGTTAACTTATAAATTATGCTTCAGATATGTATTTCATCTACTACTGTTTTTACAGAAAATTTTATTGTTCAGTAAGACAAATTCCTTTGATTATTCCATTTTTTTTCAAAATTTCTTTGGTCATCTGAGAAAAGACATTCTCCATTTGCCTAATCAATATCCCACTTGTTTCCCAGAGTGGTTGTTATATCAGAGTTGTTATATCAAATTATCAGAAACAAATTGTGTTGGTTACTTTTCTCACTGTTAAGATAAAATACCTGACACTCATAGTTTAAAGGGAGAAAGGTTTATTTAGCTCATATTTTGTAGAGGATTCAGTCCATAATCGGCTGGCTTCAAAGCAGGTGGCTCATGTGTAGAGCGCATGGTGGCTGGAGCAGAAGACAGCAAAAGCCACAAGAACAAAAGGGTAAAACAACCCCCTTTCTCCCCTTTTATCTTATCCGGACTTCTGGGATTAGGCTGGTGCCAATCCAATCATTGGGCTGACCCAGCAATCACCCGCCCTCAATCCCAGCATCCTTAATTATGAATCAGTCACACATTCTACATGCAGCTACCTCCAAAAAAGGCCCATCTAATACTGCATGTGGCTTTGGGGGGACCTCTAGATCCCAGCTATGGCATCACTTATCGCACTTTTCATGGATTGAGTTTGGATAGCAATTTATTTTGTGCCAGAAAGATGGGAGGTGTGGCGCTGGATACACTGTGCGGTGAGGGCTACATCTTTCGATTGTGGGTCAGTCACTCTCAGCCGTGAAGTTTTCTAAACTTGCAGACACTACTGAAATAGTTCTTTACCTCCAAGTAAACAATAAGAGACACAGCTTTCATAACAGGAATTTCATCATTCCTGTTGAAAAAATGAAACACCTTGACACATAGATCAGTACATGTTTGGAGTGAGACTACAAATATGAATCAATAGTGGTGCTCAGAGTCTTTCTTTTGCTCGGGCCTTGCCTGTTGACTTTGAGAAAGCTGATACAGCTGTGAAATAATATGTGGGTTGCTTTGGAGTTCACATTTGCCAGAAATCGCTCCAGATGCTGGACATGGCACTATGGAACTTAGTGTTTGTACCACCGGATTTTGGACCGTTGGTCTGTTCTTTTCTATTCCCCAATTTGGAGGATGGAAATGTTTATCACTAAAAGAAAATGTTTGCCGTTGTATATTAGAAGTGTTTAACTTTGTTTTCATGTGTACAGGGATTCACAGATAAGAGACTGCCTTGAATCTCAGAAGAGACTGAATTTGAAGTTTTCAGCAAAGCTGAAATTGTTAGGATTTTGGCATCTCTTGGACTAAATCTCCTATCTATAAAGGGACGCTATGAGTCTTTGGGTTCAAGGGCTCAAGGGAAGAACATTATGGCTTGTATCTAGATGTTCCTCTAAAGCCTCATGTGGTTGGTCATAAGTGGGCTTTTCAGAGGTGGCTGGGTCTAGGGTGCATGATGCTATCATTGAGTCATTGTAGGACTGTCTCACTCTGTGTGTGAGCGCTACCTGCCCTATGGGCGCTTGCCTGGATAGAACATAAAGGGTAGAAGGCTGCTTCTTTGCTACCTCATTGCCTTGTTGTCTCCTGCCTGCTTTTTTGATGGCCTTCTTCCATGCTACCCTGCCCTAGAGCCAGCTAACTATGAACTAAAATCTTTACATCTGTGAGGCAAAATAAACTTTTCCTTTTTTTTTTTTTTTTTTGCTATGGGGACTCAAACTCACAACCTCATGCTTATCAGGAAGGTTTTTTTGCAGCTGAGCTCTGTCCCCAGCCTAAACCTTTCCTCCTTAAGACAAAAATTGGGCTGGACAGTGTGTTATCTGTCAGGGAGGTCCAGTGTTTTGCAACTTGAGACCAGATTTGGATTGGGGGTGGGGAGGCTTGGAGGTGATGTGTGTTGGAGAGGGTGTGGGCTCTAGCCAGGGCTGCAGCTGTTACAGAGAGGCCCCTTGATTTCTACTATAGCAGATGCCAGAGTGGCCAAGGGCATGCAACCAGGGAGACCTCTATGTTCTCAAACTTCAAATGGAAAAAAATGGAATACTAAGTCAGTCTGAGTATATACTTAGAAGTGTAAATGTGTTGTAGAAGGCATATCCTAGTGTCTGAGTGCAGGTGAGATTCTATCGAAGTCCAGTTATGCTCAGGGCTCCTCCTAGTTGGCCTCACGTGAGGATCGTCATAGGATCCAGGCGTCATTGAATGGGAAATTGCCTGACCAACCCTATAAAGAACAGTTGGTTACATACACAATGACGTAAAATCTTATACTCACCCAGGATTCACCACCTCGCCACTTACATCGCAATTTGTCACTTGTAAATTAAGGAGGGCGTATCTCTATTGCCTTACAATACCCGGAATGCTATTTTTATAAATAAAACAATGTGTATAAAATACAGATGATAAAATTTTACCAGAAAAATTTGGGAAAAATTCCCGTTTGTCTTTTCTGTGACTTTTAAATCACTAAGGAACAAGAATAAAATTACTAAGGGGAAGGGCACGGATTGGCAAAACACTGAACATGAGTGCCTATAAAATAGCAGTCTTCGATGACAGCATGCCAATGTTACTCAGAAGGGTTACGAATCATAGAAATACCTTATTTTTTTTTTCCCTGCATGACCCAGCACACACTGAAATGCTAATATTTTGCATGGCCTTCAGTGGATCTTTGTCAAGTGAAATGACTCACACCACAGCAAATTACTAACAGAAGTTGATAGAAAAACCAAGCAAAGACTTAATGTTTAGGTTACAAACTGATGGGCTGAGAACAAAATTGGAATTACAGGTGTATATTTTTTGAGGCTCACAACTTTGGGTAGCGCTGTGTTGGAAAACTTTCACAATCCTCAACATAAACTGGAGATTTCACATGAAAACAACTGAATGTAGCCCAGTACTGTCTCCTTCAGACGGAGGTGTTCCTTTTGGAGTTTGTCACCCGTCCGTACCATTAACTCGTCCTCTTTTGATCTTCAGGTACAATGTCTAACTGGTTGAGTGTGTAAACTTCCTAGTCATTCTAATTTGTGAACGCTGCCTCATGTAATACCACAGGAAGTGGGAGAGAGATTACGTGGTCTAGATTAGGATGCTGAAATGAAGTCTTTTGGTCTTGAAGAAAGTGAAGAGGGAAAAAAACTAGTTCAATGCATCAGAGACAATTTTTTTTTCATTTAATAAAGATATTCTTTACAGACCTCACTGAATAAGTCTTCTTTGTTTTGAATTGCATTCTATTTGAATGAACTTTCACTTAAATAAAAATGAAGGTATTAGGTTACTTTGGTAATACTAAAAGTCTCACTGTAAGGACAACATTTACTTTTCCATAGAATTAAATGCATAACAAACTTTGCAAAAGGAAGCAGAATGCAAGTAGTGAATGTTAACTGAAAATGTGAAGGGATTTCTTGCCCCAACCACCTCCTACATATGCAGGGTAGAGTGCAGGGCAGGGACAATGTGGGCTTTAGAAGGAGGCACCAACAGAGTGCCATGCTTCCCAGCACAGTCCCTGGATACCTGAGCAAAGGGGCCTTCGTGAAACACCGTATACAGTGAGTAGGACACGTCGGGACAGTGCTGGGGCCAGCAACACACACAGGGCTTCATAGGGCTTGCCTTAGTTTCCTTCAACCAGAGCTGAAATTTGACCATTGTCTGACTGTTTCCAACAAATTCTATTGGCATCTATTTGGTCTCTAATGGGTACTGTGTATCTCATCTCAAGGAGTTTCAATCGTGTCCTGGAAAGCGATTCCTCAGTGACCCATACAACCAGGCAGTAAGTTTGACTTGATTTACATAGTAATCCTCAAATATGTATCATTACCGTCATCAGACTGTGTGAGCCTGAACCAGTATTCTCAAGAGAGGGCTTGACACTCTCTCTCTCTCTCTTTCTCTCTCTCTCTCTCTGTCTCTCTCTCTCTCTTTCCAACATAAGAGAATGGATCCCCGCCCCTTGAAAAAAATGAATGCAACACAAAGTTGATTTGAGTATTTTATTTATAAATGTACATTTGCTATAAAAGCTGTGCATTTTAGATAACTTTTTTTTTTACTATTTCTCAGAGGCATTTTAGAATAAATATTGTAAATGAAAATTAGTGTAACTGATATAGAACATCGGCCCACCCAGGATAGTAACATCTTTTGGACGGACTCACATATGAGGTGGATCATTTCGGTTTGTTAAATCTTACGCTGTGTATAGATAACTAGAATATGTATTGCATTAATAACACTACATAGAAAGAATGAAGAAACATCATGAAAGTTTGCTAGTGAAAAACAACAGTTACCCATTTTTTTTTCCTAGGAAAGAAGAGAGACTAGCTTTTGGAGTATGAAGGAAAAAATCAGATATACTTCCTCAGGAACAATAAATCACTGACTTGCCTCATCTGTTTTTTAAACAAACATATTTGCATTATAGCTCCATAGAGCACAGCATTTTATTTTCCTGGGATCTCAAAGATTATTTGAAAGGAAATAGATCATACTTATTATGCTGCACTGGAAAAAACAAGATCTAGTCTGCCTAAGCTGCCATGTAACCGACTCTAAATGAAATATAAATCAAATAGAAATAGAAACAGTTGGCAATTAGAATTTAGAAAATGTTGGAGATTATTCTGTGCTGGTGACTAGTGTTCATTATGGGAAAGCATGTTTTGCAGTTGGAGAATGCGGCTTTATTTTTCTTGACTTGTACAATGAGTCTCACTAAGAAATATGTATAAATGAGTGTGTGGAACCAGAAGAGAATGTGCAATATTCATACAATCCTTACATAATGGATGGAATTCCACATGTAAAAAGTACTCTATAAAAATCGCTTATGAATGACCATATTGTACATGTTTTGTGCATCATTTGTGGTAAAGTACTTTGCTAATACCATGCAAAGTGTAAACATCCACATAATCAAAATATTTAATAAAACATGCAGGTGGTTAATCAAAATATTGGACTTAATCTGTACATTTTAAAAATTGTTTTAATTTTTTCTTTTTCATTTTTTTTTCCTGTAAAACAGAAAACACTTCCATGAGAAGTCGTGGAAATTTGGAAGTGATTTCATCTCTTCAATGTACTGCATCCATAATTCATTGCTGACTATGTGCAACAGCTTTGCATTTTCTAAGGCACAATTTTTAATGAAATTATATGTAAATTTCAATCCAATAACAGCTCGTCCAAATGACAAAGTGGTCAAAATATCTCCAGTGGTGAGGGAATTTCTGCGCCTACATGAACCCACATGCAAAGGACCATCTAGCATGGAAATAAATAATTGCTAGCCATACTCAGTAAGACAGGAAAAAATATTGCTGACATAAAGAAACACATCTACTTGACCTCTTCTTAAGACTACATCACCTACGAGGAGTGTATCCATAGTCTACATTCACAAAATGTCCTCTTAATTTGTTTGCCATCATTTTAAGGCAGAATAAATAGTCCCCCTTTCCCCAGTCTTGAAGAAAACAGCCTGGAGATGCAAATTGTGATGGGTTTTAGTCACTTGATTTCTTTCTTGTCCAGCTGAAACTTATCACACAGGGCAGAAAGTAAGCCAAGTCTCCACAAAAGTTCTTTTCTAAACTCCATGAGCAAAATCCAGAGTTCTTGGTAGTAGAGAAGGTGATAGAGAAAAATGAAGGTGTGTACACATCCGCTAGAGTAGGCAGGCATGATCTGAGCTGCAGCTCCTTGCTGGTCACATATCAGTGGCTTACTGCATCATGTCATCTGGAGTCTTTCAGGATGGACTTAATGTTTCTCTTTGGATACCTGTGCATCTGATCCCCAAAGGTAAGCCATGGCCACATCTAATGACAGGGTTATCTTGATGCCTCACATTCCACACACCTTGTATCTGCTCCTTACTGAAGACTCCTAATCCAGTGCTGGAGGAGAAACAAGCCACCTGGGCCTCAGAGCTACCACTGACCTGCCGCTCTTCCGAAGATTACATTTCATCACAGATTTTGGTAAAGAAGTTTAATCACTGAAATATTTCCCTCTGGTTTCTCTCTACCCTTAGACAATGTCTCCAAGTGTAAGTCTAGCTGATATTTCAAGAGTTCTTTGTGTTTGATGAACCAGCCTACATTAACGACATAACTTCCAAGGTACACAAAATCTAATACTAACAGTGCAATAATTTATTGGTATAACTTCTACCTCAAAAGGTAAGTAACACAAATGTTTTCAGGATTACAGTATATATTATCAGACTAATGTCTCTGCATTAAAAACAAGATATAGCTCAGATATAGAACTCACTGTGATGTTTAGTTTTTCTGAAACGCTTTACATTTATGCTCCTGTCTTAGAAGATCACTAGAATTGGCATGTTTTGCATTTTCTTCAGCTCAATTCTGTAAACATAAAGTGTTTAATTTCTAGAAATACTAAAACACAACAGGTTTATTGCATCCTTTAGCTACTTCCCAAGAAGAGAATGACACATTTTAAACTGTAAGCTTGTTTGACCATGTTAAGAATCTCCTTTTGAACTATTCAGGATCATTACAATTCAATATTCTTTTCGTATATGCTGTGCAAATGCAAAAAAAAAAAAAAAAAAAAACCCACAAAAAAAACAACAAAAAATCCCCAGGAAAACACAAACACTGCTACAAAAGAACAGACACCACCTTTCAGAAGAGCCTTTCAGAAATCAGATGAATGCTGAGCCCCTGAACTTGGGATTTTGTTAAGCAGTTGCCAGGGGATGCCCTCGATAAAGAAATGGTCAATGATCTGAAAGCTTGAAAAACCACATCACAATGTTGTAGGCTGGCCAGCACCTATAAGAAAGAAACAATAACTTTGGTTTGTGTGTACTTTTTGCTTCAGAGGTTCCCAAATAAGTAACTACCTTTGCCCGTTCTTTTCCCCCAGGAGAAAGAAACTTGCCCCACTCTGTTCCCGAGCGCACGGTGTCAGGCACCCAGTATTGACACCATCTTTGTTAGCAATGCAGACCATTGAGCCCCATCTCAGACCCCACCTAGCAATGTGCTAGTGCACATAGGCTCTGACGTTTGGTTCAAGGACTCTGGATTTTCTATGAACCAAATAATTCCCTCAACATGCTTTCCTCTGGGGCAGATAAGGCAAAATCCATTTTTTTTTTCTCTCATAGGTACTTTAGATTTTGGTTTCTGTAAGAATAAATTCATTGAAACCAGAGGAACTTGACATACAATCTAGAAACAGAATCGCTCTATTAACAAGTAAAAATACACAACACCCAGTGAAATTTGAATCTCAGATAAACACATACTTTTCAAGCCTAGGTGTAGCCCACACAGTATCTAGGACATAATCAACAGCATGCAGTAATTAGGATAAACACATGGATTATCTGAAACTCAAGCTAAATTCATTGTTTACCTGATAGTCAAATAAAAAAAGTTAATCAGGCATTTGCATTTTATTTGGCAAGCTTATTTGGAAACGATTAAGTTCTATATTTCCTGCTGAAACCTTCACAAGGTTCCTGCTTTCATTTTAGGCACTAGAGTTGTGACGAGGCAATCACAACATTCAAAAGGGCCCTGGGGACTTTGCGCAAAATGCATTTCAGGAGAGTGAATGATGCACTAACACCAGGAACACCACGCAGAAAGGCACAGCCATCCAACACCCAAACACAAATGGCACCAGTTAAACATGTGACAGCTGAATCATGACAGGTAATTTGTGTTGCACTTCTACTCCCATTTACATAGGAACTTAAAAACTGTTTACGTTGCTTTTAGGAATTGCATTTTAATATGCTGTTACGCTGTTTTTCCCTCCAAGAGAAAAATTTCATTTAAATGTGACCAGTTACTTGAAGGAGATGGGATTATATATTCAGGTTTCATTATACCACAAAATGAAATTGTTTTGTTTCACTTAGAATGCCTATGATGTAAACCACCTTGCACATCTATCCATCTAGCCTCTTCTCAACTCAGATCAAAGTAAAATTAAAGGAAAAAAAAAGAAAAAAATGATTTTTAGTCAATTCTTCTCATTCTGACTCTTTAATTACATGTGGAATATATACAAACAATTCAAGTATATTTATAATTCTCTAGTGAAATTATTAAACCCTCCATTGAGTCTTTCCTAAGATACACAGTATTTATTTCTTGGGACACTAAGAAAGAAAGGAATACTCTTCTCTGGCCTGTGTTGACTTAACTAAAATCAGCCTAAACTAACATTAATATTTACCTAAAACATAAACATAGGAAAGTTAGAAAACTTTTGGAAAAAATAGAGAGAAGGTGGCCATTATTAAAACAGATTATGAAGATACAATAATTAAAACCACCCAATAACGAAAAATAAATAGGTTAGTAAGATATAATAAAATATCCAGAAATGGATTCAAATATATGCAGGGCCTTAGTTTATGAGAAAGTTAACATTTCAAATTAGTGAGAATAAAAGGGATTATTTATTAAGTGCTGTTCACATTACTAGCTACCTGGAAAAAAATAGGATTGGCTATCTCCTTAGCTTTTATCCCACAGCATATTCCTGATGGTCTTTCATTTACATGTAAAACAGAAAAAAATTTAGCAAAATCTCAGCTAAGTTTTTTTAACCTTTGGAATATAGTGTATTTCTGACTCACAACATAGAACCCAGAATTCAAAATGGGAGAATTTATGCATTTATTTACTTAAATGAAAAAATTTTGGGTGAAAATAAATCACAAAATGGGAAGTCAATGACAGACAACTGCAACATACAGCAAATATAACAGGGAAAGCTTCCTTATTTCGCAAAGAACTCAAATCAGGTTGCTAATGGAAAAATGGACAAAGGATTGAGAAACGCTTTATAGAAAAACGTATAAATGGTAAATAAACACATGAGAAGATGTTCAAGCTCATAACTAATGGGATGCAGTTCAAGCAGTGAGAATTCTCCCCACTTAGTGGATGGAAATTTTTTTAGTGCTGGGAACGCAGGTGTCTGTACCCCTGAGCTACACCCCCAGCCGCAGCGGACATTTTTAACACACCGTGGTGCCACTGATATAGAGGAAGAACGCATTTTGCAGGGAGGATGAATTTTCTGAACAATGACAGGAAGAATGGGTGAAAAATTAAAAAGCACACGCCTCTTCATTCTGCTTGGCTACTGCTCCGAATGTGTCCTTTAGAGGTGTTTTCAAATACTCAGCAAGATATATCCAAAGACGTTCACTGGAGCACTTAAAAGTATTAAAAACTCAAAATAACCAAAGTGTCCTTTCATTGAGAATTCATTTTAAACTAAGGCAAGTCCACACAATGGATTGTGGGTAGCTATTAAAAAGCCATTGAAAAGAACGAAGAAAAGATACATGGTAAATGGAAAAACTGCCAAGATTTGCCATTAAATCAAAAACAACAGCAACAGAAACTAAGTGAAGCATCCAGTGACCATGTGATTACTATCTGTGTGAAGTAAAACCCAACACATATATAGGCAGACACACCACACACTCTGCTTCTCTGTGTGTGCAAATGTGTGTGTACGTATACAAATACTCATTCTATCCTTGCCCCCAAGAAATTATTATAAAGTTGCACACCCACATTTATAGTAGCATAATTAATAAAAGCAAAATCTTAGAGGCAGGCTATGTGTCCATCAACAGACAAATGGATGAAGAAAATGTGGCATTTACACACTGTGGAGTACTACTGTGCCCTAAAGATAAACTTGAGTCTTTGGTAGGAAAATGGATGCACTTTGAGACCATAATTTTAAGTGGAATAAATTAGACACACAGCTTACACATCACATGGCTTCTCTTATTTGAGAAGCCCAAGGGATAAATAAAAGATAAATAATAGGAAGTAGGGAGAGTTTTCTTAGAGGGGGAGGGGATCAAGAAATGGAAGGGAGGGGGGTAAGGACCAAAAAAGAATTAAGAGTTGTTATGTACATGCACTAACTCTCTACAAGGAATATAATCATTATGTACTGAAACATGTAATAAAAAATTGGTTTGTTAAAAAAATATTAGAAAGTGGTAACTGGAGATTTTCACTTTTAATTTGGCATGTGTCTGAATGATTTTATAGTCTTATGTCATTTATAACTTTTATTTATTCTTTTAAATATCTAGGTAGAGAGATAATGAGCCTTTTTACATTCTTCTTTGTAAAATATCCTAATAAAATATTGAAATATTCTAATAAAACATTACATTTAAAACATAAAACAAACAACTAATCCTATCTCTAGATTTCCAAATTACTTTCTTATTTTTCATCTTGTTCCAGGAACTCCACAGTTCTTGTCTTTTGACTTCAAATTAAAAACAGCTAATGCCTTTTAAATTTGTATACGAAACAGAAAAGCTCCTGGCTTGGGTTTAAAAAAAAATCAACTAATTTCCAAAAGAAATGACAATGAATTACTCAACTTCTCAATTAAAAAGAAAAAAAGAATCTGGATTAAAAACAGGCCGCTGTCACCCAGAACCGGGCTCAGGTTTGCTCCTTCAAGCACTGTCAGCTGTGAAAGGAAGTCAGATCACAGCACTTTCAAGCTTTCTTCAGTCTTCCAACCTAACAGCGCCCTCTTCTGGTCCCCGATTCACACTCAGCCCGCGCACTGAACTGGAGAAAAAGTGTACTTTACAAAGCACAGAAAAATTCACTTTAAAACCTGGGAGAAAAGGCTTCAGTTCTCTTTCCTAGTGCATAAAAATGAAACAAAGGTGGTCTGATTTACAGAGTAGACATGTATGACACACGGCACATCTACATGTGTATCTGTATCTGTAGGGATGTATGCTATACTGTTTTCACCAGTATTTTTAATATATATAAAACATACGGTATAGAATTAGTCATCTATATAATGCATGGTATAAATAGTTCTGTTGACAGCAGTGGCTCTAAATTGGAACTGTTGTGACAAAGTCAATATTTACTATAACCTGGGTGTGGTGCACAGGCCTGTAATTATCAGCTTTCTGAAAGCTGCCAGAGGGGGATTTTAAGTTTGAGTCCAGACTAGGCAATTTAGCAACAATATACTATTTAGTTTTGTCCTTTTACTTTTCAGTCTCGTAGATTTAGAGGCCATTTAAAAAAAGAAAGTGTTACTTTACTTACTTTGAGACATAATAAAACCTTTCTGAATTTCAAACCCCATTTCTTCACTCTAAAATCTGTGTGTGAAGTGTTTTTGCCTGGTGAATTTGCACTGAAAGGTCTTCTGATGTCTAGTTAGCTGCCCGGACTCCTGACAGAGACCCAGGAAGAATTCAGAAGCAAGTCGCTGGCTATTTTCAGAATTTTTATAATATCAGATAGGCAACAGCACCCCCTTGTGCCTCCAAAAGGAACATAAACCTTTTAGGGAACTACAGGGTAGCAAATACTTAATAAGCTCTGTTTATGTGCTAGGTATTTGGAGGGGTGGGGAAATGTATAGAAAAGTGGAATCCATTATTTTATTTCTCAAGGAACTTTCAATTTCATAAGGGATGGAATCGTATTACATAATGAAAGCCCTGAATACAGGGCATGGTGACACTGAAGAGTTGGTGCTCAATTTGATAAACAGTGGAAAGTCACTCTCCACACTGGGTAATCCTCAAAGGTACTGGGCTTCACCAAAGAACAGTGTTTTAGATCTTAAGCCTTCCATCTTAGCAAGACCAGACTAGGCAATTCCTTGAAATTGTACTCCTGCGTTTATGTGTTTATGCACTTTAGGATACACAGCATTTACTCGCATCACCAGTAACTTCCAGTGAGAAACAAATGGCAAATACGTTATTTCACTATGGAGTCTTGTACTTTTATGCTAAGAACCCTTCCTCTCAGGGTAGGGGGTTCAACTGACAGGGGAAAATGTGTGACCCTCTGCGTGCATGTGCCTGTACCCCACTCCACTCGGGGTGATCTTCTTGGACTTACTCCGGGATCGCATGTAGCAGTCATTACAGTTTAGAAGACCATTTCGAATCCTGACATCCGTGCCACTCACTGCATCTCCAAGCTGTCCTTTACAAATTCCACACTACAGGGAAAAAGACCAGTGTTAAAGGATGCATGGGGAATAGGTTCTTTACCATGCTTAGTTACTGTTTGTGCTAATGACACAAGAATCACTTCCACAATCTCCACTCTATTGAGCATCTATTATCTGCTAGATGCCATTACCAAATGTCAATTTATAGCAAAAGTGAGAATACTTTGAGCATTTTATCTTAACTCCTTGCATTTTACAAAGAAGGACCCAAGTTCAGAGAGGTTGGAGGATTTGTCCCACGGCTGTAAAGCTAGTAAGTCATGGACTAAAAACCTGTCCTTCTAAACTTGATAATATGCTATTTCTCAATCTCATGGCAGAACCATGTTAAACAGATTAAACCCTAGTGGTTTTAAAGAAGCACACAGCCAGTAGATCATCCACTTCAACTTGACTATCAATACTCTTTAAAGGCTTTCAAGGCTTGTTGGCAGGTTTTACCTGATAACAATTACTAGGGAAATGATTTCATTTTATATTTCCACACTAAAGGCAGTGATAGCCTGCATAACAAATCCTTTGGGAATGGAATCCCTTGAGAATGGCCAGACTACAGCCTCTGATTCATGCTCTATGGTCACCTGGGGCAGAGGGAGCCTTCATATAAATTGTGCTACGAGCTGTATGTATACTGGGTTTTGTCTATGGTGTCTTATTCTTATGTAATTACTAGTATTTTTGAATTAATAATTTGGGGCTAACTTCACTGATTAGCTCTTAGTTAACAGACAAAGTGGGAGTTAAACCCCCGCTAGATTAATTTATATCTAAGGAAGCTACTACCAAGAAGTTTTCCAGAGATAGAAGATGTGGCTTCTAAAGGTATTTATTAATTTGAAATATGTCTATCAGTGGAAAAAGGACAGGATATGCTAAGAGTTCAACATTAAATTGTATAATAAATCAGTTATAACTGATGAGTTCACTTATGTATTAGCAAGAGAACTGGTTTCAGTTTATTCATTAATTCATCTATTATTTGATGCCTATTTGACTAGGAAGAGGAAACAACAGTGAACAAGACAGACATAGTTCCTGCCCTTACAGAGTTTATAATTTATTGGAGAAGCTGATAATGAAATAATACAATGATGACTGATAAAGACCATGAACAGTTGTATAACAAAGTAACTGACTTAGTCTAGGTAGGAAGCTTCCAGAAAGAGTGCTACTTACACTGAGATGACAAAATATTCATTCTGAGAACTACTATTTTGTAACTATATATACCCATATGCTTAGGTCAAAGATAAAAACCCTCTGGCACGAAACCACAAGTGTTTAAGAAACAACAAATACATTAAATTCCAAATAAATCCGTTCAGCGGTAAAAGATTTGGAAATATTGTTTTCCTGTGTCCTATCCTATTTCCTGCTGGAGCACAGGCTCTTCAGTAGCCGCAGCTATTCAATAAAGACAAATTACACAGATCAGTTGGGCTTCTTGTAACTGCACATCCCAAAAGGAATCAGAATAGAAGCGCTTCACCCTGAAGGATAGAGCCCACCCACATACCTACATCACTTGGGACAAGGGTGCATGAGAAAAGGCCTTTGGGATTTCCAGGAGGCATTTCTCAGCACAGAATGAGACGGAAACTAACACACAAATTCCCCAAACACAAAAAGCATGAAATTCCCCTTAGAGCGTTAAGTCCATACCCTAAAACACTGGATGTGAAAACACAGATTGAGGGTCTCGATGATCATCGCAGCGCCTTTACCCAGTGGAAGCCCACACGAAGAGCACAGCTTCTTCCCACTTATAGACCTAGGGTGACAAATACGTGTAAGAATACATCGTTCAGTGTAGAGTCATTGGCCAAAAACACAGATACGTCACATCATGCAAAAATGGAAACATGGATTTTTAAAATGTTTATATAATGAATGAAATGAGAATTACTGAACTGACAATGAATAGGAAATTAAGTGTTAGCTCTAACAAATTCTGGATAACAAATGCTCGACTAAAAACAATAGGTCTCTATCGCTGTATTTACTCTAGTGTGTGGGTGCCTGTGCATGTGTGTTTGTAAGTCTTTTGTTCCAATAAATTTAGGTGGTAGTCTATTCAGATACCTTGGAATGATTCAATGTATTTATCCTATGTTTTCAGAAATCCTAAAAGAGAATGAAGTGAAGTTTTACTAAGGTTTCAATGTTGTTTTTCATAAATAGTTCACTGCCCTTTGAGGGTACTTCTTTTTATCTATTATGGAAAAAATGTTTGATTAAAAAATATAGAGTCAACTGTGCCATAACAGAAAAGGATCAAGGGCAAAGAGCCCTGAGAGACAGGACTGAATCGTGCACTGTTATCAAGTTCCATGGTTTGCTGTGAAAAACTTACTTTGGGTTTCCCTTCTACCTGTACAATGAGAAAGGTGGGCTAGGTTATTTCTGCTTCTTCCTCTAGTGCAAACACTGAGAACCTGTAATTTAGACACCTGCCATCTCTCCAAACTGCAAACCCCGGAGGGCAGGGCTGTCTCTGCTTCCTCTTGGTAGTGCTGCAGCCCCCAGTGAAGTGCCCACCAAGACAGAACCAAACTCAGCAGAGCAATGCCAGGGAAGAGCACATGGCCAACAACCCACGTGAAACTGGGCAGCTGTCCTCAAGGAACCTTCCTACAGCTATGGTTAGATTGCAGTATCGTCTGTGACCTGAAAAGTCTTTGGAATTACACAAAAAGTTAAAAATATACAATGTCATTTGAAAGCCAAGGTGGTACAGAGGGACAGAGGAAACAGAAAGAAATATCATAGAAAAGGGGAAGATGTATCCTAATCAAAACCTATTTATTAGGATTTCCCTCTTCCCTAGGAGATAAATGAAATTTCCACATCAGCTAAAACCTCTGAGTACTCAGTAATTTGTTCCTCCAGTGAATGGAAATTCAGGCCGCTTTCAAGAATATCATGGGGCCCAATTACTGTCCAGAAGCAATCATTAAGAGAGCCAGAGTAGGTTAAAGAGAAGGAGAAGCTTGGCTTCCCTGCCTCTGCCTGGTTCACTGGAAGCACCATCAACCACCCCTGCTGAGCTGCCACGCAGGGGAAGGCGCCGCCGGAGGAGCCCAGCTGCTGTCTGGTGGGTTTTATTATTAGATTGCAGGTTCCACACAATGTAATTAAAATCTTATGGTCACAGCATGCCAACGTCACACACTTGACTTTCTCTATTGCAAGCAGATGAATCTGCAGGCAGATGGGGGACGTTTTCCTTCCTGCTGCCTCTGCGTGTGTGGAAAAGGATGTGGATGACAAATCCCCCCAAATCACTTGGCAAGCACCAGTTCCGCTGGAGTGACGCTTAGCGAGCTCGAGTCCTCACCGAGCAGCCTTGAGAAGGCTCACTGAGCTCTTGTACCTGTTTGGTGATTGGCCAGGAGGGTTAGGAGAACAGGGGGACAAGGGCCCAGCATGGAAGTTCCCTCGAGGGCTTTTCCTGTAACATGGTAAAGTAGCCAACAATTATGACAAGTCAACAGAGGCCCAAAGTTCCAAAAACAAAACTTCCTTGCAACCAAATTAGAGATAACAGAGTCTTCTGGTGGCAACTTTTTTTTTGAACAGAAGAAAACAGTAATTCTGCCTAGAAAGGGCTATACATCATTGGCTACGTAAAGTCAGAACCAGGCTGGTGTGCTGGCTCTGCTGAACAGAAAAACCAGAGTAATTTTCTAATTTTTCTTTTCAGTGCAATGCTTCTTCAGTTAAAATTGAAGTTTTTCTATTACAGTTGTTCACCAAACTGGTTTTATATGATAAGATGGACACAAAAATTACGAATGTGGTTTGAGGAAGAAATGAGTGACCATCTAGAGGAACACCCAGGAACACAGGCAGACACGACAGGAGGCATTTTCAGCAAGGTGATTCCACTTTGGGTTCAGAGATGGTCGTACTCAAAACATTTAGCAACCTCTATGCCATGAGCTGGCAGTGACAAACATGAGCCATCCCCAGCCAGAGGCAGGATGGTGTGGGTGCTGTGGGCTGTATATGGGCTCTGTACGTCATTTGGCTGTCACTTCTGGGCTCTGGATTTTAAAAGTTAATTTCATTTGTAAAGAGAGAGATAGAACACAGCAAAGAACAAAGAAAAGAACAAATACAATCACAGAAGACAACAAAGCTTGAGTTCATGCACTTTCTTCTCTCAGTTAAACCTCTGAGCCCTTCGTCACTCCAAATTCTCCCTTCAGGCAAAGAATTTCTTCTCCAAAACATCAGGTGTTCATCCAGTACCCTCTAGTGTAAGTATCATGTCTTGAAAAATAGCTAATAATCACTGAAACCAGCAACAGTAACAATGACATGTATGTGACTGAGCTCCTATTGACTCTAATGTCTACTTAGAAATGAAACTGGATGGACAGAAAAGGTCTAAACACTGTCTAAACACTGTTGCAAGGATAAGAAAATCCTACCGAGAAAAGTGGGTCAAAACCAGAACACTTCTCTTACAACACAGTTAGCACCATCATCTACATGGCACTGTCTAGTACAAAACCTTATGAGGTAGATATTATTAGCATTCTCATTTCATACATCAGGAAACTATGGCAGAGAAACATTAAGTAACTTGTTCAAGATCCACAGTAGGTGTTATGGTTGGTATCTAGGTGCTCCCCAAAGCCTCATATTTTCATGGGGTTTTTTGGAGGTTGCTGAATCTAGAGTGTGAATCTGATTGATTCATAGAGCAGCGGCAGAGACTAAGAGTGGGTGATTACTGGATCAGTCCACTGATTGGATCAGCACCGCCCTCATCCCAGTTGACTTGATGCAATATAAGGGACAGAAAGAAGCTTGTCTCACGCTCTCTTGTTGCTTTTGATGTGAGCCACCCTGCCTTGGAGCCAGTCGATTATAGACTGAAACCTCTACAAACTGTAAGCTAAATAAACCTTTTCTCTCTTTAATTTTGGGAGTCAGGAATTTTGTCTCAGGAACAAGACAGAAGTAACTGATACATTAGGCAGACTCGAATCCAGATGGCCTGGATCTATGCAGAATGATTGGTTGAAGAATAATAAATGTTATACTTTTCCAAGTGTGGTTACAAAGAAGCTCTGGCTTAAATCAGAAAGGTGTGGGTTCATTTTGAATTCTTCTACTACTTAACCAGTCAATTATTTTGTGTAAGTTATTTAACTTCCCTGAAGCTTAATTTCCTTATGGGAACAACAACTTCATAAACTCTTCAATGGGAAGGAATCACTAAGTTAGCATAAGAAAGGAGAGAAATATTTGTAAACTCTTCAGCGTAATGCCTATTATACTGAAATACACAAAACTGACAGGAACTATTATTAATGCAAAAAACAGAGTTCTTACAAAATTAAAATATAGTCTAGGGTAGGTACCTTAATAAGAGAGCATAATAATAGGAAAGTAACAATGTTTTCCTTGAAAGAAATTTGTTCACAGCCTCCAACATAGTTTAACTCAAGTAAGTTACTAGTACAGCAGACTTGTAAATTTTTCCAAATATTTATATTTGTAGGTTAAGAATATTATTTTTTCTTATAAATTGATAAATTCAGAGTGATTATTTACTAGGCAGGAAGACTGTCTCACATTTTCATAAATATGTGTTATTGTGTCAAGGAAATCAAATTGAGAAAAAAAGGCACAAAAATGCTTCTGACATCTTGCCATCACCTTTGTTCATTTCTTCCCCCTTCAAAGTTGATACATTTTAAAAGAAATCTCTCATTCATATTACTTGTTTACTTACTTCCGCCTTTCACTTGGAGACTCAATCTGATGGTTGACGGTTTTATTCAGCGGGAGGGTTTTTGGCTTTACATCTTCTAATACATGCATTGTTGGGTTTGCTACTTGCTGATTCTGGGATGGATCTGAACCAAGTAAAGAACACAAACTTTATACTCAGTAAAGTCACTTTATGCTTTGTGAATCACCTTTTTTAAAGTGCTGATCTCTGCTGAGATCTCACAGCAACTTCATGGAGATGGTGGACAAACAGTGGCTGGGATGGCCATGTGTTCCCTGCACTGTGAATTAATCCCAGGAGCAAAGGAGACCTGGAACCAGGCTCTTTTGCCTCAGTGATTTCTGCTGTACTAGTAACAGTACTCAAAGTATTGACTTCTTTTATTCTTTAGAGAAAGCACATTTGAGTGGATGCAGTTACAATTTGGGGCATAATTTCCAAAACATAAATACCTATTGCTTTCTCTGACCCATGAGTTATACCAAATGGGATATGGTTTAAATTCACAGGACATCTATAGATACAGGATATATAGTATATCTCTCTGTGGGACCATATGCAAGTAAATGCTTATGCATGTCATCAATCCATATAAATGTATGAATAGAAAATGTGCTCAAAATGCAAGGTCAAATTCATCAATTTCTTTTGTTTTGTTTGGATTTAATGTGTGTGAAGATATGGACAACTATTTTGCGGAGAACAGGAGACACTGCGGTAGCCACGGTTAATTTTCTGTTGTCTTGTTTTGAAGTCCTGAGCTACCTGCAGTGTTTTGTTCTGATCTACTTTGCTCTGTTCTGTTTTGCTTTCTTTTGTTTTATTCTCTTTAAAATAAAATTTTAAAAAATTTTAAAAATTCACCAATTCTGCTATTGAAAGTTTTTTCTTGCTTAGCCAAATTTCTTTTTTCTTTTCTTTTCTTTTCTTTTTGCTTAGCCAAATTTGTCTTTGCCCAAAAATATTTATTATGGTTAACTTTTTATACTCTTAGCTCACCCCGCTATAATTCTTCTAACTTTAGACTCTGCCAAGAAGTATCTGCCAGCTGCAAGTGCACTAGAAACTTTCTTAGTAGCTAAAAAAATTAAAAATTTAAAAAATAAGGTAAAAAGACACATCAACATAAAATTAAAAATCAAAGGGGGTCAAAATGCAGAAGGCTTCAGGTATTCAGGAATCTGAGACTGGAACTTGTAGTGGTATTCAGAATATAACCTTTTTTAAAAACTAACTTTATTGAATTACATAATGATCGTGTGCATCCTAAGGAACTTGTACCTGTACGTGATGCATCTTGATTCTTCTTTTTTCTCCCCTCCCTTCAACCCTGGTTCCCTTCCTTATTTACAAAAGATCTGTTTCCATTTTTCCTCTTCTATTCTCTAAGCCTTTGAATTTTATTGTGGGGAGTCTGGAATACGGAGGCACAAGGGTGGCACAGGCAGGGGAGCTGTTAGGACTTTCTCAGCCTCCTCCCATATCTCCACCAGGCCATAAACGTGCTGTGCGGAGATTAAATCCAGTAGTGAAGTCCGGAAAATTGAGGAAGTCTCAAAATGCATCCTGTTCAAGTCTCATTGGGTTCTCAGTCTTTAATGATACTATGTTAGCTTCAGGTCATGAGGATAGGAGTTCATTCATTTATGTATTTAGCATAAGGTAGAGGCCTGGGGCCCTTAAAGAGATGCTTACAGCTGGCAGAGGTCGTATCTATCTGGACAATACAGAAGTCTTACAATAATTTTTATTTATTTATTTAACAATAATTTAAATCCTTCTTTCTCACCCTGAGCTAGCTGTGGGTCTGTCCCACAGGGTGGGGCCCCAACCTCTGTATCCAGCTGATGTTCCTGATGGATTCCTTTTGCTGCAGAATTTTCAGAGGGAGTCCATGGCCCTTGCGATAGGCTGCCGGAAAAAAAAAAAAAAAAAAAAGAAAGAAAGAAATGTATTTCAGAACCAAGATAAGAGCAGCTGGATAGAACTTATTGGTCCCATCCCTTAGGGAATGGAAGTACCAACTATAATCTGAAACAAAGAAATAAGATGGTTCACTTTTTCTTTTCATTTTAAACTAGACTTAAGACATTATAAAGAAATTGTCATCTGAGATGTTCTGCTTGTCCACCACGCTATGCATTCTGACCCTTTCAAGTGATGAGGGAGCTAATCGGCAATTCCATTTTCATAATACAGGGATTACTGTGGAAATCATCTGAGCCACACGGGGCAGGGCAGCCTGCGGTAATCCACTGGGCTTTCAGTAGCTTCTGTGTACCAGGGAAAGGAGAGATGAAGGAGATACAGAGCAAGTTGGTGACACAGAGGACATTTGGGAGAACTAACAAACATTCTTATAAAGTGCCTATGTAAGGAACAGGCAAAAATGCACATAAATTGTTTTTTGGCATCATTCAAATCTTTCCAATCAGTAGTTTCTATTTCATAAAACTAGGAAGTTTCTGTTGATAGTTTTAACTGAAAACAGATGTGTTTATCCAAAGACAAAACCATCTCTGGACACAGGCCTTTAACCTCTAAAACTTATACTTCACACAGCTTTCTAGCTGACAAGCACCAGAGTTCAGGGCAAAACCTCCCAGCAGGTCCTACAAATGACACTTGGAAATCCTTGCCTGCCTTGGGACCTCCAGGATGCTGTATACACATGCAGATGCGTGCACTCATCCTACCTGCTATCTCAGACCGCAGGGGCAAACATCTGTCTCAGAAAGAACACAGAAGAATGGTATTCTGTGGGTCCCTTCCAGGTCAGGCATGGGTAGCATCAAAAAGCCCATCATAGCCATTGCTATACCAGAGTGTGTTCCAATGTGAGTGACCCTGGGGGCTTCAGGGCTTTCTGGCTTCTTTTTCTGATCTCCCACTCACTGAATACACTGGACTCATGGTGGAGGTGATACCACAAACAACTAACCAGGAGCTCCCCTTTATGTTATCACCCAGAGTAAGTGGGGCTTGTCACAGCACAGGGGATAGGAACAGCCAAGCTCGAGCCCATTAGTGAATCACAGTAGGATGAGACTTTGGGGTCCCGTTTCAGCCTCTGTCCCTGCAAACACTGTCACTATTGCAGTGAACTGACTGACAATTCTTTGAATTGACAACAGACTTCTTTGATGGTCTACATTGTGTCTCCTTATTTAAAAAACGTTTTGCCTATTTAAAAATAGAGCTATTTATATTCAAGAGCATAAGGACACTGACTTCAGAGCTATTACAATATGTTCAAGCAATATGTAATGTATTACTGGAACGATCATTTCAAGGCTGAATATGATTTGCATTAGCAATGGCAAATGGACAGGACCCGGCTTTGTGCACTTTCACGGACAGCTGGGTCTGGATTCATACCTGCCCTTCTCCTCCAGAAGATCACTTTCCTTAGTTTTATGCAATATGTCATTATCATTCCCCTGGAATGGTTTCTTCTCTTTTCTTTCTCTTTCTTCATCGTGACTGTTTTCCAAGTCTGGCTTATTCTAAGGGAAAAGCAAAGATAATCATATTCATATGTATGTTTTTTTTTTTTTTTGCCATTGCTGAGGATTGAGCCCAAGGCATTCATACTGACCCACCACTCCAGTCTTTATTTTATTTTTTTATTTTATTTGAGACAGGATCTTGCTAAATCACTAAACTGCCCAGCTGGGCTTGAATTTGCAATCCTTTTACCTCAGCCTCCCAAGGGGTTTGTTTTATAGGCATGTGCCACCACTCCTGACTTTAATATAATTTTTAAATTTACTGGCCAACATTTATGGCTGATCACTAAATATCTGAAGTATTTTTCACTGCCTACAATGTAAAGAGCAGTCACACAAATTAATGGAACCTAATTGATTTCCAATTATTTGGAATAAATGTATAATCTGGACTTTCTTTGTCTCTGAATTCATGCCATAAAGGGAAGTGGTTAGAAAATCACTTTGTTAAAATAAAACCAACATAAAGACTGCTTGTTTCAAGACAAACCTTTGCCTGGCACTCCTGGGTTATTTTATTATGTGTGGGTTGTGGATTACGCAGGTCTTTGTATGACTTTCCTTGAGTACCTCCATGACCTTACTTGGGGGATATGGAGGTACAGCAGCCTTTCTGGCTTTCTCCAGTCCCCAAAGACACTGCCAATTTCTCATGAAAGTTTTGGGGATAGAAACAACTTTCCTGGAACCGGTGGAGAAAATAATGCAAGTTGTGTCTGCTGCTGCTGAACAGTGCAGGAGAAGGCCTTGCCTGGCCGAGAGGAACAAATGTCTACTGAAGGGAAGAGCAATCCAGGAGCCAGGAAGCGAGCAGGACACTGCTGCACACGGACCTGTCCACTGTACTGACTTTACTGCTCCTCATGAAGCAGTGACAACACAGAGTGTACCATGCCACGCAGCATATGACACAGTTCTGGAGGAAACGGTCAGCGTGGTTTCCCACTACTCTGTTTGGTGGGGAAACAGCATTGGGGTCTTATACTTCTCTTTAGGTTTATTTCTTTCACAGATTGCTTGTATTGATGGTCTCACCGCTGTCCCACTGCTTTCAGTGATAGAGGAGGACACAGACAGCTGGTCTGCAGAACTTGAAGAAATAGTAAATGGAACCACCGTGTCTTCAATTATTTTTCGCTCCTAGAGGAAAGACAAGAATTAATAAAGGGGTACATCAAGAGAAAAATTACATTAAGGAACTTAAGGGAAAAATGAGAATATGTGTGAAGAGGCAAGCATTTAAAAACATCTATTTTTTTTAAAGCATGCAAATACTCTCTATGGGCAGTGATTTAGAAATAAGCATGGACTTTAGGAAACTGAAGTCTGAATTCATTTGCGTGACTCAACAAGCTTAGTTAAGAAATATAATTAGGGATCTGGCTATGTACAAAAATTATTGTTGACAAAATTCATAGTGATACTAATCATAAACAAATTTTAGATGACACACAAAATGAGCCCACATTCAAATTCTGTAATGTGTTCTCATTTGCTAGTTAAAAAATAAAATGAAGCAAAATTCTCCTCTTCATAGCTCTTTAGTACAACATAGTGAATGCAATATAAGGATATACTCATTTAGCCAAAATACTCAAATTATCCTATAAGATTAATTCATTACTGCCAAACACAGCCGCTACAAACAAGCTTAAAAATACATAAATGAACTGATTTCTTCGTGTCATCTTTGTAGAAGAGACCAATAATCAGACCATATACAGAGGAAGGATATAATCGTATTGTCTCCTTGACTGGCTCAACACACTCTTGACATGACCATATTTAGTGGGTATTGTGTCTTTTACAGCTGAGATGATACAATCTTTTTTAAAGAGGTCAGTGGGCCTCTGCTTAAGGAAAGAAAGAGAAAGCCACACATATACACATGACATAGGTACGATAGGTAAGGACAGTCTTTGAGGAGATGGGACAAGGTCAAAACCCTTGAGAGTCTCCTACCTCCTCGTAGTATCTACGTTCTTCTTCTTCCACCTCCTTTTGGGCTTTTTCCCATTCTTCTTTTAGCTTGTCCTGCTCCTTCTGATACCGCTCCTGTCAGAGTGCCCACAGGCCATTTGAAAGTGATCTTTGCATACATCACTGAGACATTTTCTTGCTCTAAACCACCATGTCCAACATGTGGCAAAGTTTCTACCTGTGGTAGCATTCCAAATCTAATTAACTTGTACCATTAAAGGGGATGCTATTGTGTGCATCCAGTGGAGAGTAGTACTCTCTGCTGTTGTATTTTGTAGTATTCTTAGATTAAGAAATAGAAATCTGCTTGTAGAAAAAGTAAAAAAAAAAATTCAATAGTGTTTCTCAACTTGAATTCTGTCCTACATAGGCTAAATCAACAGTTTGCTTCAACTGGGCCCTTTGGAGATGAGTCTTTGCCATTCTACTGACAGAAATACATTGCTGGGAGTGTAGGTCAGAGGCAGAGTTCTTGCTTAGCATGTATAAGGCCATGGGTTCGATGCCCACTCCCCCAGACACCCCAACTTTGAAAGGAAACACATTGTTGCCTAAGAGAGTTTAATAAAAGATTTAAAACCTTGTAGGTCTGTGACACAGACAATACAATGAGATCTAAAGTTGACAACTAGCTGAGTAGCTAAATTATTTTTTGCTTTTCACCACTGTACCAAAACAAAGCCTCCCCAGATTCAGCAACTTTTTAAAAAATCAGTGCGTAGTAGTAATACAGACTAATGAAATTAATTTTGGTATACTGGAGGTACATTTTAAAAAATGTCTTCATCCCCATTACTTTCTTTCCTCTCCCTTCCATCAATCCCCTTCCTGATCTTTAAGAGCAGTTGTTAAACACCTTTAGAATGCTTTTGTATCAGAATACCATTCTTTTATTCAGAAAGTGCCACAGGAGTCACAATTTTTGGGAGGAAAATAAAATACTCTGAATAATCATGGCGCCCAATACATGTGACTGGCTTCTTGACGGCTGACTACATGAAATGAATGAATGGAGATGAAGATGAATGGCTGAAATGAGGCCTGACACTCAGGAGGCTTGGAAATGGCGTCCTGCTATGACAGAGACAAAGCAATCACTGAATACTGCACACCCTCCAATATTTGGACTGATTAGTGTAAATCCTCTCTGTGAGGCTAACCAAGTCTGTGCACGTCTGTGTGAAAGGCACTGAGACTTCTCCCATGCCTACTTGTTATGTCATTGTTTTAGGAGCAAAAGGAATTCACTGGAATATCTGGAGACTGGTGTTATCTTACTAATGTTCTACCAAAAGCACTGTGGTAAACCCAGAGCAGAGGTTCTTTGATACTAGGCACAAACTTATTGTCAAAACTGAATATTGGACAGTTTTGGAGACAGATTTCAGGGGCTTTTTAGGATAGAGGAAATAGATCCCCCAACTACAGAAAATCTAAAAAACAGGTAAAGCTTTTCAGCTTTTCAGCTCCAAGAGCTCCATTACTTGTCCCTGTCTCCCCTCACCAGGACAATGACCGGTGCAGGGGCTGAGAGAAGCGGTTGACACACAACAGTGAAAACACACACGTGTGCATATGTTTGCATGGCCCTCTTTCCACAACCCATGACCTTGCACTAGGTAACCTCTCAGTGGGACAGGAGCATACATGCCTGGTGCCTCATCTGTAGGCAGGACCACCCTTCAGAGCACCGTGATGGGATGTATACTCAGTGCACATTTGTGACTCCTGACTGCTGGCTGTTTAGCTGAAGAAATAGCACTTGATATTCAAAACCATAGCAGATGTTCAGGACCTGTCTAAAGTCCTGATGGCTCTGTACCTCACGAATCAGAACCTTACTAACATTTTGGTGTTGAAGATCTAACCTTCTGCACTTTTCAAAAGTACCACACTTAATTGGCAGAGCTAAAGCCATGTCGCAATTGATTAACTAAGTCATCCCTGAACCTTGGGAATTAGGTAAAAAGAAAGAAAGAAAAAGTAAGTAAAATAAACTTGCATGAAGTATCACTTTCAACACTGCAGCAGAAAGTCACCAACTTACTGAGAACTAACATTTTCCCCTTCTATGATTTATTGGTAACTTCAGTAGCTATTAAGAATAGAATCAAAAGAGCCCAGGCTTTAGAGCCATTCAGACCTGGATCTGAATCCAAGCTTATGACTGGGAATTCAACATGTTCCTTTTAGATGATGTTCTCCTAATTTATACATTTTTAGCTCCACATTAGGTCCATGATATTGGGCAAATAATTTAATTTCCATGAGCTTTAATCTCTTTAATTGCAAATGGGCTGAAGAAGACATACCTTGAAGGTTTGTATGCAGATTAAATTAAATGTCAAGCACCAAACGAAGTGTCTGGCACATCCCAACTACTCAATATAGGTCAGTTTCTAAGTTTACTAGTTGTTTTTGAAAGCCCTGTTAATCTATGAAACAAAGAGGGAACAACAAATGCTCCCAGTATGTATCCAGAATTGCTAATTAATAGCTTTTATTCAAAAACAGAGCAAACATTTCTACTTGAGGAACTAAACTTGTAGGACTGGCTGAGAGCCCTAGACAGCATTAGATACATTTAAGAAGTAGAGAAGACACGACTTCCGTGTCACAAACCATTCATCTGACAGCAGGCAATTTCACACTCGTGTCTATAGAGTGGCAATGTTACTGAGATCCAGATGGTTCTACTGATGAAACCTATCATGGAGTTACCAGCCTCCTTTCACCCCAAGCCACCTAGATCATCCCTCCTTGACCAGTGGCACCTGCCCTTCATGTTGCCCCTAACCAGTCAGAGCAATCTTCCATCCTATGGAAGTAGGATGATTGTGTCAGAGAAGGGAATATCAGGGCAGATTAGAGAAATATGAACAAAAACCCAGGACAAAATCTAAATAACTGACGTTGTAAGATCATCACATGCTTATCTGTGGTTGACAACTGTATCCATGGTGGACAATTATAAAATCATCACACACTTATCTGTGTACCATGTACTTGAGAAAATGTGTCCTATTGTATCCTTATGAAAGTAACACTTTCTCCAAGAAACAAAGGAGAAGACCCTGATTGGCTTAGCCTCCACCAATCAACAAAGCAGCTACCCTTGTAAGAATGGGCACAACCCACACTCACAGGGCATCCTGAGGAGGATGCTGCTTATCTTGTACCACTCTGCTGCTAAGGTACCTCTCCTGCTTTTTTTTTTTTTTTTTTTTACTTTGCCACACTTTAAATAAACTTCTGCTTTTCACTGTATCCCCTCTGCTGAGGGCTGCACTTCTTTGTTCTTTGCCAGTGAAGTGAGATCCTGAAGAGAGGTGGAGAGTCATTACAAGGGACCAATCTCCCTGGGAGACTCCCTGCTGGATACAATAAACTGAGGCCAAATGCGATTCCTCCTGTATACTATTAAACAGCTTTTGGCTAATTCATTCTCACTGTCACTTGGGCTGAAATTGGTGAATAAAAAGGTGATGAGTGGGTAAACTGACTCTTAATCAATACTGGGAGGTTTTAAAAGTGTTCATGTGAACAGGGTTTCTCTTGTTCATCACTGTACTTTCTGGAAGGAAGAATCGGATACAGAATAGTCTGTTGCCTGAACACAAAATTAATTGAAAAATTCCATTTCCTGTGTTAAAAGTCTATGCAATGCAGCAGAAATTAGGAGAGCACCATCTAAAAGAAAGGGGAAGAGCAGCAATCGAGTCCTACCTGAAGCAAACGTTCTTGTTCCTGCTGCCATTTTTCCTGTCGCCGCCGCTCCTCTTCCGGGTCCCAGGCCCAGAACTTAAACTGCTCAAGAAAACAAAACCATGATCAGAATTGAGCTATATCTTCAAGGACAGGACGGGAAAGGCAAGACAGTTAGCCTTCAGCTTGGGCCCAGTGGATACACAAAAGTTTTCACTTCCTGTTGTCATTGGATATGGAACCAAGGGCCTATGCAAAAGGCAAAAACTCAAACCCAAAGACTTGCAAAACAGTCTTCATAGGAAGAAAGAAAGAGAGAGAGAGAGAGAAAAAAAAGAAAAAGAAAGAAAGAAAGGGAAAGGAAAGGAAAGAGGCATTTACCACGAACACAGACAGACTTTTCTTATTCTCTAACCAATATAGGTTATAAGTTGCTTACTTAGCATTTGCACTGTAGGTATTGTAATTAATCTAGTGATGATTTAATGTATATGGGAAGATGTGTGAAGGGTTACATGCAAATACTACACCATTTATATATGAGACTTGGGCATCCAGGGACTTTGGTGTCAGCGGGAGTCTTAGATCCCATCCCCATGGGCACTAAGGCATGAGTGTAGTGGGAGAAGGGTGCACAGGTAGGGCACAGCCTTCTACTCTGCTCTAGCCCTGAAAGATCTCTACTGCCACCCCTGTGCACAGTGCCCAGGCTTGCCCACTGATGTGTCTCAGGCAGAGAATGCAGAATTCTCTGGCCTGGCCACGGGTAATACTGGATTTATAACTTTATGAACATTGATCACTTTAACGCATTGAAATTTATCCAGATGCTATGTGGGCTTCATCTTGTATTCTTGCTGTGGTTCTTACAAATGGTTAAGCTAGCTGTTATGTTCACAGAACAGTAAAGAAAAGCAGGGAATTAAGGCAGGGAACACACATTCCATCTTCCACACTGAGATACTCACTGTATACTTGTGTGCTATGTACTATAGCAAATTATATAGGAGGGAAGAGTATTTATTGTATATAAGCCAGACTTGCTTGGATGACCATAAAATGCTACCCGAATGTGGATCCCAGATGGGAAATTCTACTGGACTTTAATGCATTGGGGGTTGATTCCACCCCCATCTCTGCATTCTCCTAGGACATGAAAGTCATTTAAATATTGACAACCTCTCATAAGAACGTGGTCCTTTGTGCGAAAGGCGGATATTTGTGGGAATAAAGCCACAGGGAAGGAAGTCCAATAGATGGCAAATAAGAGAATTGGGAACTATTTAATTCTATGTCACACTTAGTGGTAATCTCAAGAGTAAGTCAGTAAGGAAGAGGAAGACAAGAATAAAAAGCAGCATAGGACAGAGGGGCTTCCACGCAAAACAGACTATTTGTTGGACAAAGAGAGAGACAGACAGACAGAGGCAGAGACAGAAACGGAGAGAGATGATGATTAGGCGTTTTCAAAACCTCTAAAGAGGACAATTCCTGCATAACAACAAAAGGGGAAAACAGAGGCATCAAAGTTCTTCCTCTGGTGATTATTTGTTGACATGATGATTATGTACTGTGGGCTCAGGATGGGCTGGGGTGTACAGGTGACCAAGAGAAGATGGGGAGTGACCATGTAAAAAGGATCCACAGAAGACCGTGTGATAATTGTTCTCAAGGACAGATACAAGGCCCTGGATGTAGCTGGACTGGAGAGCACACAGCCCACACTGTGCCTCACTGTGGCAGGACCCTCTCTTCCCCTGACTCTGGACTCCTGAAGGGCAGAGAAGTCTCTTACCCCTCTAACTATCACAAGACCTTGCAATTTAGGCCCTCAATAAGTGTTTGGTGAGTAAGTCGTGGAATCGCTTCATGCTGGGTGATGCCAATCCTGCTTTCCCAGTCCTGTGTCACTCCAAAGTCTGACCGAAAATAGCCAGTCTACTGAGGTTACCATAAACTCATGTTTACTTCTCCTTCAAATTATACTTACTTTCAAATTTCTTTTATTTTTCTATTCTATGAGGAAGCATTTCCTATTGAAAGAACTTCAAATCTGAGGGGTAGTTATATTTTCAGAGACCTATACATACAGGTCAGTAATATCGCTTTCTCATTCTATTTTCCATAAACAAGAAATGTATGCCTTAGGGGTGCTCTTTCTTTCTACCCTCATCTAGGGGGGTACATGAACAATCTGACATCCTTGTCCCAAATGTAACTTAAAATGAAGTCAATAGGTGATGTCACACTCTTCAGGTCTATGCCACGAAAGCCTACTTTGAGATCCTTCTGGGGTTCTCATCCATCCTAGGTGGATACCACTTTCCAAGAAACTCAGGACTCCTTGTGTTGCCTTATGGCTGAATCTCCACAAATGGTCCTTAGTCTCAGACTGTAGCTAAGGGTTGGAGACTGAGGGTTATATGACAAGGGATGAGTCCCTTCTCCACTCTGCACAGGCACTTAGGAACTCCAAAGTGAGACAATTTGCTTTTAAATGAGAATGGACATTGGCTGTGGTGGGCCTCTTGGGTTAATTCCTGGTGAGGGATGATTTATTCCCGTATCAGGAACTATGCTAGAGGATTCTGTAGATTCTGTGTAATTAATTCAACTAAGGCTCACAAAAATCCTGAAAAAAAATCTATTATTATTTCATTGTACATTCAAAGAGATGGGTACAGAGAAGCTACACCATCTTCAGAGCACAGAGCTAGCAAGTCTGGAATTAAAGCTACAACTATGATTACATGGCTGCCCCCTGGTGGCTCCAGGACGGTGCTGCAGTTGGTTGTGCTACAGAGGAAGGAAAGTCCAGACCTGCTGGGAATTTCAGAGGATGAACAAGGCCCAACAGGTTCAGCCCTACAAACACCAGTTCAGAGAATTCACAATTAAGTCAGCAGCATGGGATTTTCCACAGTGTCATGTGCCTTGATATTCTCATTACCAAATACTTTCTTATTTTATTTAAATAAAAAATAGAAAGTAGTATTCACAAACAATATAATTCAAGATACTGATTGTCACAAGAGGCATGACAAAAATACTGTGGATCTCCCAGAAAAAGTCTAGGATGGGTCCTGTCTACCAACAACACACTATGTTGAAATGTTTTTTTTAAAAATGATTTTGAATGCCTATTAATTCTTCCTATCACAGTCATTTTAAGTACTTCTCTATTTTACTTCCTGACATCATTTTGTTTGCAGGGCTGATAACTCCACACAATGACAATCCATGTCTTAGTAATTTGCCCAGTGGCATTTTGCACAACTTTAAATTATTCCCCTCAAATCAATTGTTTGGATCTCACTTTTGGTTGAATATGCTTTAAGAAGATCAAATACATTATAAATTAAAATTACACTAAATGAATGCCTTAGTCCTTAAAATGAGTTACTTACAGGTGTAGTGAGAGGAGACTTTTCACTGTTTGGAGAATCCGCTACACAAAATAAAACAAAGAAAGAAAAAGATAACGTTAGTAGCTCCTAACTGTCTTTCTTTCTGATTCTCTCAGGGTGGTATAGTTCGCATGTCAGCTTCAAACCAATTCTTTCTCTTTTCTTTCTTTTGGTAAATCAAGAGCATTAGAAAATTATAACAAAGCAGACCCCTGAAGCAAGTTGTACCCATCACCAGAAGAAGTTATGGCCAGTGTAAAATGATTGACTACATCTATTAGCACCAGGTACTAGACTACACGAAGCAACAACTACTCCTGCGGCTGCTGGTTCTCAGTGCCGTCTAAGTTCTGCTTGACTGAGCAGTTCCCTGGCTGTCTGACATGAAGTATCAGAGAGGCCAGATGTCATCCAGGAAGGACAGAGAGAGAGAAGGAGAAAGAAACAGAGCACCACACAGTTAACAAGAGAACTATTACCAGTTTCTGGCAACAACTTTTAATATGTTTTTTAAAAAGGAAGGTGGGTGATAAAAAAAAAAGAGGTAAGTAATACTGGTTTTTTTTTAACTCCTCAAAAGTCAACATAAAATTCCATGAATTTCCTCCAATTTTAGTGTAACTGGTACCAATATCAAAGAATTATGGTAGCTCTTTGTTAACTGTGTGTCAGGTATAAGCATTTTCCCCCCTGAAATCAGGAACAAAGACAAATGCCAGACATCATTGGTTGCCCCAACATGGATTTTTGCACAAAAGAAATGCAGCTACCAGTATGTAGTTTACCTGACTGGGAGAAAAACTGGGAGCGTCGCCAAGAGTTCTGAACTCTAAGCGGAACACTGGCTGTGCTAGGCGACTCTAGATCAGATGGCAGAACAGAACAAACAGAAAACCATGAAACCAGGGTGAACACTGAACAGAACTATGTTCCTCACATATCAAAGAAGGCTTGGTGTAACTGACACAAGAACTGAGAGCCAGCGAATCCAATGAACCAAATGTTTCACTGGTACACACACACAAAACCCAAAGACACAAACACACATCAATAGAACAAGGACAATTTATGCACCTGTTTATCTTTGTGGGTATTAGTGAAATTCTACAGATTCATATTTAATGATGACAATGTTTAAATGTCAAATCAATCTCAATACACTCTTAAGAGCAAAGGCACAGTTTACATTGCTTTTGGGGAACAGTAGCAAAGTGCAAAAGGTATCAGAGCTAGGTGGTTTAATTATGATTTTGTACATTGTACTTTATAAAGACCATGTTTGGAGGTCTGTGGCTGCCTTCCTTCTATACATAAAAAGGATCTCTGTGTCTGTATATGCTACATCAATTGCACAGAAACATTCCTGAGCATTTGCATCCTTTAAATTCTATGCATGCCAACTGATGATTCTCAGTGCAATTAAGATTTTAGGTTTTAAAGTGAGCACATATTTAATTAAAATTGGGAGGTACCTTTCTACTGTTGTGAGAGAGTTGAGGAAAGGAACTCTCACCATTAAATGCATTTTACGAATGTTTTCAGAGTATTTCAAGACTGTTGATGCATGTATGTGTTCAGATGTTCATGGCCTGGGTGACAGGTCTATAAACCACCTTGCAGACACTGGGAGAGATCACTTTTTGGAGGAGAGAGTATTTATTAGGTGTAGCAGCAGGATTTCTGATTCTAACTCTCTGGTTCCTTTAGACTTGATGTTGCACCGCAGTTTAGTCACTTAAACACAAAGTGACTTTTTAATGCCTGGGCAAAGACTTATCACTTCTTCCCACCCCCACCCTAATTCAAGACAAATTGTGCCCTTTAAGTTAGGTTACATTTACTATAGATGTCTTGCTTCCTGAAGGTAGGCACTGTTATTTTCATATCTATCAATGACGTCTTTAAGGCACAATTTAAATGAATAGTACAAGACAGTGATTTTTCACGTGCGTGCTGGATCTGTCAAAATCAGTACTACCCGAGAAATTGTTGGAAATGCAACAAATACTCTGTTCCCTGGCCAGACCTAGAGAATCAAACAAGAGCTACAGGGCCTGGGAGCCGATGTGTCTTTGAGAACTACTGCATACAGTCGAGTCTCTATAAGGTAAATATTCTTTTTTTTTTTAAATAAAAATGTTTAAGAAGAGTTTATTTCTGCATTGTACCTTGCTCTACATTTACCTTGTTGTTAGTATCCTACAGTCACTAGATTACTTTGTTAATGCTGGTTCTGGACTAGATACATAAGAAGCTAAACACTGAAGTAAAGCTAAACACATGAAGTAAAGATTACTTCATGCAGTGCTTCCAGTATTCTTAAAGATTGATAGGATTATCATTTCCAATGTATAGGTGACAATTAGACATTGGAAAGCACATGATGGGTAAGATCACACAGCTAGGAACTAGACGATTTAGCATTTTGAAATGCTCTAGGGCAGGGCTGGAAGACTTATGGCATGCATGATGCAGGACGCTGTTTCTTATGATTGAAAGCTCTAAAAGATTTTCCATCACTGCTCTAGGGCTATTACATTTTATTTTTTAATCATTCAACTTGAGTAAAGCATGAAATAAAGCCCTTTAATTCAATAGCACATTTCCACAAGTCAAAATGCTTATTTACAACCGGTAATGGAATGTATAAATACTCCAACAAAACTGTGTAAAGCATCTATTTCCACTCTATCTTCCTTCTCTACAAAATTACAAAGTACTAAACACAAATAGAATTAAAATCTGTCTAAATATGTCCCACTGCTGGCCCAGCTGTGAAACTTTGGTCAAGTTCCTTCAGAACTACGGGACCAATCAATTTAAAACAAATTTTTTGAAAATAGCATTGAATTTGCTTCTCCATGAAGAAACTGATGATCATGAGTACATGCAACAGTTAATCCCCTCCCAAGTGTTCCCTGTTTTGCATAAGAGAATTATGTTAATGGTGACCTCAAAGAGTTGCCCACCTTGCAAAGGGAACTAATAAATCCCAGTCACATTCGGTCTCTGCCTGGACTGATAAGTCTACAAGCTGTACTGGGGGAAGCACACTTAAAATAACAAAACAAAAAACCAATCAGGCTTTCAATTCTTGACTCCAAAATTCTCGCTGTTTCCACATGAAGATAACTTGCATCCATAAAGCTTAGGAATATATCTGTATTGAAGAATAATTCCCAAGGGTGGTAGAATTCTGAAGATCTACATTCCTTATACTGTTCATATTACACTCCTGAGGGTCCTTTCTGGTCATGTGGGTACCAGGGTTTCACAGTAGGACAAAGCAATTAAAGTTGGGTTTTTAAATTGTAAAAGAATAGATTATAACCCATACGTGGCCTACAAGGTATTTGGGAGTCACTTCTATTTTATGGATCCTAAATTCCCCTATTTTTAGATGTTATCCCTTCATGCATTATAGTAAAACATATTCAAATACATGCAACACATTAAAATACATGCTTGGTATTGTTTGTAAATATATAGTGTACATGCCAAGCACATATTTTTTTAATGTTTCATATATCTTTTTTTTTTTTTTTGAGATAGAGTCTCACTATGTAGTACAAGCCGGCCTTGAATTACTGTGTAACCCAGGCTGACCTCACAAGGATTACAGATGTGCACCACCACACCTGTCATACTTTTTAATGTAAAGAAATTTTGGAAATGTTAAAATTTTTGCCTATCAGTAACATATTTAAACTATACTGTGAATTATTCCTCAGTACTGGTCAGGCACATCTGAGAATTATTAAGTAAAAATATAACTTTTCCCCCAAATTACTGTCAAATTAATAACATTCTATGAAGACTAGAATTAACAATAACATTGGCTCAATATTACGATTGGAAACATTTAAAACTTAAGTTTTTCATTTTGTCTTTTTTTGACTTAGAGCCAAAACAAAAAAAGTTGAAGGTCTTAAGCACTTACATGGGGCTTATTGTGTCTAAGGTACCTGGCTGACTAAGTGGCCACAGCAGCTGGGCTTCCTGGCCTGGTCAAATGGAGAAAGCAGCCTCAGCTCTCTACTTTGAAGTGATTAATTCAGCCATCACAGCCTCTGGCAAATATCACGACTAAAAGAACACTAACATACAGGTGCAATCATGCTTAAAAATTAAGAACAGGACCTAAAATGAAGTATTTTCTTCTCCTTACCTTGAGAATTGAGATTTGGCAAATGTAGTTGGTTGGTTTCAGGCATTTTGTCCAGAAATGGAAACATCACAGTTGCTTCTGGTTCTGGGGATTTTGGCTTTACCACCTGGATCATGAGCAACAGACATGGATATTATAAGTATCGTCTATCAAGAAATGCACAGATTAAAAAAAAGTAAAGATCCAATATAATAATTAAGCTCAAACATTTAAGTTTTAAATGATAATTTTTTGCCCATTCCTAAAACCATTCATGCTTTACTATATTAACAGAGAGGTCAATTTTTCAGAGAAATCAAGTGAACATAATAATGTATTCATCATTTTTCTCCAAACTCAGAAGATAACTGCCCATCTTTGAATGAAAATATTACCCCCTCATTTTCTTACTAATTAGTTGCATGTTCTTTTCTGGTACCACACAATGTTGAATTTATGATGTCAGGAAATGAGATATTTCATTTATGATGATTTTAAAAACTATTACTCTGTAAAGTGCTAAACACTAAAGTAACATTCTCTTTAAATGACATTATTCTCCATATACTACTAAAGTCCTCACAAAGGTACGCAAAGTGCATTAAAATAAGACACTTTGCCTGTTGACAAAGAAGCATTATAAATAACCATTATCAAACAAATGCCCTTAAAGAGTTTTTGAGGCATGTTAGATTACTTGTCCTCATGATAAGTAGTTCTAAAATTACAGGTTTTAACAATTCTTACAGTTACTTTGTAAAATGGATTTTTCTTACTATTGTCATTTATTTTTGTTTTTCCTTAACTACTGTCCTTTTCTAGCTAGATTTCCCCCTTACCTGGGCACATTGCATCTAATCAACCTACTGCTAAAGACCAGATTATCAAACTTATTTAAACAATGTCTAACATAATAGTAGACTCTGAACACAGGTGTAAATAAAGAACTTGGTGCTGCGATCAGTTCCCATCTCCTTAGCTTCTCTCAGGACTGAACTGTGATTTCATTCTTGGCTGGTTACCATGTTCCTAATAGATCAATGTGACAGCTAATGATCTCAGAGTGAGAGAGACTATAGAACACTGATTTCATATATGCTGCTCTGTGATTTGGTTCTCAGGATAAGTTAATGTCAGGATTTGTTCTGCATAGATTTTTCTTCAGTAATAATACATTCAACCCTAAAAGAATCCTCAAGAAAATATAATCTCCACATCCAGGATTACTGAGGTCAACCAGATGTCCAAATGAAGTTCAGTATTAAACATACAACTAAAGCTGAGATCTAGTCTTAACAAAGTTGACAACCATCAAATCTTAACCTCATATATACTTTTTTGGGGTGAGGCTTACAAAAACATGGTTCAGATCATTCCTGGTTGTATATGAAACAGTTAATGGTCAGCAGAAATGCTCAGAATGACTACTCTGTAAAGAGGTCAGCCTGTATTTTTGGGTAACACTCTAAAGGGAAATCAGAGGGAATCAGTCACTGTAATCAGCTTACCTAAGTACTAGCTATAGAAAAAGGAATAAGCAGAGAAATTCATAGAGTGGAAGTGAGAAAGGTATTCAGTTCAAAGACCAAAATTCCATTTGCTCATCAATTAGCAGAAGTTCTTAACCTGGATCCACAAAACACAATTCAGTGACTGTATGTGCATACTTGGAACCTCTTAATGCCAGGAACAACCTGGGGATCTTATATATTTTATTTTACACTTTAAAAATATTATTTTGATGATAATGTTTAACAGATGGCCAAAGGGCCCAGAGCAGAACAGGACAGAACAGAACAAATGAACAGAACAAATGAGAATTATTTGAGCAGAACAGAACAGAAAGGAGAGAATTGAATCAAATCAAACCAAACCAAACCAACAACAAACATGAGGACTCCTGAAATAATATTTTCCATAGTGGGGCATATGTGACACTGGTGGTTTGAAGATAGCTCACACTAATGAGGGGACATTGTGGAGAATGTTAATGAATACTTTTCAGTCACGGTATTCATTTTGATCAATTAAAACAACATTCTAGGAATGATATAAAGTTTTCCTTTCAGTGTAGATTTAAGTGAAAAAATGAATTTTTTCAAGAATAATAAATAAATAAATACTGGCTACAAATGTAGATAAAGATGGAAAATCTTGCCCACCACTAACTTACTGACATACAGTTTAATTTTCCTTTACCAATTTCCAGACTACTCTTTAATTCTCAATGGATAAAAATGGGGACCAGCTAGGGTCTGAAATACCCCCCCCAAAAAAATCCAAGCAAAAGACATTCTCAAGGGTCTACTAAGACACATCATTTTCACCTCTATAAATCCAGGGGCTATCTCATGTTCTCTGTTAAATGTCTAGTATCCAAGTATGGTACCCAGCATGTAGTAGGTATGCAGCCAATTACTGGGTGAATAACTGATGGATGAACTAGAGCTAAATAATAAAATTTTCACTTTAAATTTAGGGTTGATTTTTCAAAGGTGGGGTACCACCACATGCAGCTTGCCAGTTGTGCAAGGCAGAGGTTCTTCTTTGTGGCCCATCAGAATTACCCGGGAGCTTTTAAAAATACCTGGGCCCTGTCTCCAGAGACTCTCATCTATTTGGTTCAGAATGGGTCTATCAGTTTTTAAATTTGGAGGACAGCCAGGATTGAGGCTAAATGGAATAAATGATGAAGATTTTTGGACTCAGTAGCTAGAAACAAACCAAACTAACACAAATGAAATGAGACTACAAACACAAAATTTCCTAAGAACAAGGGTTTAAAGCTAGCATATCAGAATAATCGTTTTGTAAGTTTCTTTCTGTGCAAATCTAGAAGACTTAAAAGTATCACTGCAAAAAGCAATTAAATATTGAGAAGAGAATATTTAGTAAACTGTCAGACTAAAAAATAAGTAAGCAAGTTGCCATACTACAAACTAAAACCTGAGCGCAAGGCTTTACAACTTGTACTATGGTTTTCTTTCAAATACATTGAATTTTTCAAAATTAAAACTTATTCAACATAACTTTTAAAAGATGTTGAAAGGGTATATACCAACCAGTGAAGAGGCAGGTTTCAATGACTTATTCTTTCTCCCTTTCTATATGCTTGTACATTTTAAAAATGTATTTACAGGGATATTACACACTTGGTATATTTATGTTTAACATAAATATTTATGTTACATAAACATATTTATGTTTATATATCTCTACTTTCTTTTTTTTTGTTGTTGTTTTTGGTAGCGGTAATTGATCTCAGGACTTTGAGCTTGCCAGGCAGGCACTTATGCCACTGAGCTAAATCCTTGGCCCCTTATTTCTATATATACTTAAAATTTTTACAGTGAACATGTAGTATATGTATTTTAGGAAAAATATAGATTAAAGATAGGGGAACAGATTGGGAGAGAAGTAAATCTTCACTGGAACAGGTGCCTCGCAGCAGCCCGTTCGGCACAAAGCCATGCTGGCTTTGCTCCGCTGTGTATTTTACCTTCTGGGACAGCACCAACTCCACCTTCCCGCTCATCTCGTTTTCTGGCTTCTTCTGGTCTTTTTCTCCCAGCACATCATTCTTCACCTGTGGACTGGAGAGCTCCACCAAGGCCACGGTCGGGCTGCATCGAGTCACAGTTGTAGTAAAATGCTGTGACTCTTAAAAGGAAAAAGAAAACAGGAAAAGGAAATCATACAAGAGAGCTTCGTCCTGCAAAGCCACAGTGAGCCTTTAGGAGGTTTGATCAAAACATATGGCAAATGTTTCAACTTTTAAAATTTATTTCAGGAAAAGACACATTGCCTTTAAGGCCCCTTCTCACTTGAACACACTAATCCCATCGTTTGAGCCATTTTCTGAAACAGCTCTGAAAGTCCTTTTACATCTACAGTTGTGCTGTCGTGGCTGTCTGGATGCTCTGACTCGATTCAAAATGTTTATCTTTTGTGGTCATGGTAACTGCAGGGGTGACAAATGACACAGAAGCTGCACAGTGTGGGACCTGGTGAATAAGGTGGATGAGGTCACACTGAAGTGTTTTTACGAAGCTGCGCTTCTGCTGGATGGCGCTTGGAATCAGCACTCACTCTATTTCTGATCACAGCTCATACAGACCCTTATGAAAGATGGCAGCCAGAACGGCTTCAGCAAATGGAGAGAACAATGGGATACATATGTTTCAAGGAAGGGCTACTTTTTTTGAGAGGCATCCATTGCAATTGCATTTCACTGTAATAAGTTTAAAACTTTTGAAATATAGACATTTATTGTACTTTCAGATCACACCTGATGGTCCATGCCCAACCCCAGCAGTAGGAAGTCAGATTACAGTGATGATGGAAAAGATGCAGAATTCTCCAAGCACTTTCACAATAGTACGAAACAAGTAGCAACTGAAAGCACATTAAATAGCCCAAGAAAAAGAACAGACGTCCTTGATAGAGTCACAGTTTCCATCTGAATAACACGTGACAAAAGAGAACATCCAGTGGTAATTTCTATCCCCAAAACTGAGCACAGTATCTCGATGCTCCTCTTTAACATCATGTTCCTAACTGGAAATGTGTTAAGGGTGTGGGACCGATGTACATAATGCAATAAAAACAAATTGCTCTCTCTGGTAAGCAACCAGTATACTTGGAGGGTAGAAAAGTCACCAGAAAGAGGGCACATCAAAATGTGGAGGTACAGTCTGGCTTTTAAAAATTGGTATTATTTTCAGTAATGAAATTTTATTTTAAAGCATCACTTAGGGATAGATTGAAAGAGGGGACAGGTTTCTGGTCAATGAAAGAAGAAGTATGTTTTAAAAATACAGATAAAATTTCACAAAAAATTGAGGAACAAGAATTTAGGGAATAATCAACTCTTCTCTAGACAATGGGTACAGCAAATTCATATTACCATTCAGGTCTGTGGCATTCATTCTTTCAAATAATTTTCCAGCCTTATCATTTCAGCATCTACTGTTAGGATATATTAGTGGATTCCTGTTTTTAGAACACTGAACCCATGGTCAGAATTCCCCCAGGCAGCCTCTAGGTGGCAGCACCACCACATTGCTTGTACTGTATGGGGGGGGTAAATTCTTGGCTTCATTATATCTTAATTCTGTATCATCGTTTTTATTCTTTTGTTGTTGGTTTTTGTTTTTAAATTTAAAAAAGAGTTAGTCTGCTTTACTTTTAAACTAGTCTATTATGAAACAAACCTGATGAGGCAGGCTCTGCATTCTCTTTGCTTGCTTCTTCACCATCATTTTCATCTTCTTGGGTGCTCAGTTCAGTTTCCTCAGTGGTTGCCTGAAAAAGATTTCCCCCGCTTGAATGTAGTATCCCTTTGCAACTCCTAAAAGGACAAAGGCTTTGTTCTTAGTAGTAACTTTCAGACCAACAAGGCATGTCGCCCACATGAAGTCACTCTTCGGGTTTCCTGGGAAGCTTTCCTGGGGTGTCTACGGTCATGGTCATGTGAAGGGGACGAGAGGACACTCCTGTTTGCTCCCCAACCCTCTTCCCTTCTTCTTTTTTTCCACAACCAAAGTATGTAAACCACAAGTGCATCTTGCTTGTGCCTCAAGACCCTTGGACTTGACTCGGGGTGATACCCCTGGAAAGCTGGGGTGTGGTTTGTGTCCTAAGGTTACACTTAACCTCTCAGTGGCCTGCCTCGGGCACAGCTGTCTGGTGCTTAGCACCATGAATTTTATTCTTGAAGCTCTCTTCTTTCCTGGGCTCCCAGTGACATCTATTACAGGAATGGTAACTCTCTTTGCCTCCTTATTCTTCTTTCCCTGGTTCTTACTCTTTTTCTTTTCAACAAAATAGAGGTTATTCTCAAAAATTTTAATCGGTTCCTGTTTTGCACCACTTGTGCCAAGTTACCCTCAAATGAATCAATTATTCCATGGGCCCATCATGATGTCCTTGATCCATGTATGATTTGTGTCTTCATTTCCATGGCTGAGAGTTTATTAAAGCTGCGGGTCAGTGTAAGTGACCATCAAGGTTATGGTAAGTGGCTAAGAGTCAACTGTTAGTTCTTCCTCCAAACCTAAAAATTCCAGTTTATGGCATCAGTTTTTCCTATCAAAAAATTAAACTTTAAAGTGATCTCTGATTTCTACCTCCTGTGCCAACTCCTGCCACATTTGTAACACAATAGTTCTCATATTGGTCTCTCCCCTTCCATTCCTATGGCTGGGACCCAAGGTTTGCTTTGGTTCCTTTTGTCCCCCACAAAGCAGGTCTCTGATTCAGAGTGTGCTATCTGACCTGCTTGGCATATTATTGCCATGGTCATCTCTCTTAGTAGTACCTCAAATTATCACTTGTGTTCATCCCTCTCAGGATCTCAACTGCATCACCTTGGATGTTTGATGAATTTATGATACTAAAACTTTTAGAGCAACCTAAATGTGCAACAACAGGGAATAGTTGAATGTATTATGCCCATAAAGGGAACTATTACACAGATCATAGAAAGACAGGATGTTGAGCCAGTTGAGGGCGTAGTTCGGTGGGTAAGCAGATTTAAACTGTGTATGTATGTGTAAATATCACATATAAGATTATAGCTGGGTGCAGGGGCACAACAATGTTAGCCCAGCTACGTGGGAGGCTGAGGAAAGAAGACTGGAAGTTCAAGACCAGCCTGGACAACTTAGCAAGATTCTGTTTCAAAATAAACTTTTAAAAAAAGGGAGGGGCTGGGGATTTAGCTCAGCGGCATAAGCGCCTTCCTTGCAAGTGTGAGGTTGTGAGTTTGATCCCTGGTACCGATAAAAACGAAAAAGACAAACGAAAAAGTCAAAAAAAAAAAAGTGTTAAGGGGTGTCTCAGTGGTAGAGCAGTTGATTAGCATGTATGAGGACCTGAATTCAATCTCCAGCACTGCAAACATGGCAACAAACCCAAAAGATACTATATATGTCCATACACACATAGTTGTACCTGTTAATACATATATTAAAATGTATGTAGGGATACACAAAAATGCCAATAGTGATTATTGTTAAGTTTATTTCTCCTTCTCTGTGTATACTTTATACATTTAAAAATGTTCACAATGACTATATGTTTCTTCTGTAATCAAAAAACAAAATCAGTGTATTTTTACATCGTCTTTCAAAGGCACCAGCTGACTGTGCCACTGAGCTACATTCCTGGCTACACTGTCTTTCATTGGGAGCCAACTGACTGTGAATTAGGTTCAAAATTCTTGGTGGTATTTTCTCTGTTGCTTGGTAAAAAATAAGTAAAAACTTAAAATAAGTACTAGTTAATGCCTTGACAACCAAAAAGAACAAGTCCATTACTAATGTCTTTTTTAGTAGAAGTTTCCTGTAAAGGGTTAAAGTTAAATTTGTGAAGTATATATGAAATGTTTCACAAATTTTGAAAGGTTTTCAGATAAAGGGAAAAGTTGGCTTCAAATAGGGCATTAGTAAATACTTTAAAAAATATCCCTGTAAATTCTCAAAAGGCTTTGAATTTATGGATCTCTCATAAATATATAATTTAATTCATAAATTAAACCAAAATTTGCTTCTCTAGTCAATAAAGTCCTCTAAAGGAAATGCATTGGTGGAAGCCATCACTGAATTTTCAAAGATGAAAGAACTTTAAGCAACAACCTCCAAACTTGTAGATTTTATAATAGCATGCAGTGGGGAAAATGTGATTTTTCTTGTGGAAGATGGGATATTTTGAAATCTTCAGAATTAGACAGGGACTTCCTTGCAACTATATATCAATTCTGAAGACACATAATATGAAGTTAAAATGTATTGTTAAAACCCTAAGCAGGAAATAAGAATCATGTTGATATTACTTAACGGATTTTGTAATTTTTAATATAACAACAAGCCTGACTTGATTCCCTTTAAGAGACCTACTGAGTGAAAATAATTAAAGTCTTGTTTATTATACTGATGTGTGTATGCGTGTACATTCATATTATAATATGAACCACTAAGAACAACCAGTTTAGCATTACAAAAGAGTAAGTCTGGTTTTATTTAAAGTGCACATGTATAAAAACTTAATACCTGAGAGTGGTTTATTTTATAATATTAAAATACAAAGTACACAGGAAAAAATAAAATATTGGCAGAAATACAGATTTTTAGCTTTCTTCTCCAAATGGATTAGATTATAGAAAACTATCTGAGGTTAGGAAGCAAATGTGCAGTTAAATATTGATGAGTGGTCCTCTAGGGAACAGGTGTTTCCAATTACTAGGAATAACTAACTATAAAAAAGGCCCAGAGCCTCTGTAGCCTAAAAATGAATAAAGACATAAACATAGTTTACTAAATCTAAGAAGCCATCAATTTAAAATTGTATTACTGTAGGTTCTACTAAGACATAACACATCCTTTCTGTTGAAAGTGATATGCTATTGATTATAAGAGAAATCTTGATTTAGAGACGTTAAAATGTGGAAAGCTGCCACTTGGATTCAATAACATAAGATAATCCATGAAGTCCTTTGGATGAAATGTATAATGCAAACAAGACAAGATTCTCGGCATTAACTCCTTCACTAAGGATTATTTTACTAACATACCACATTCTAGTAAAGTTTACATATGCATGATTAATGAAGAAATTCTACTTTCAAGAATTCTCACATTTCCACACTGCTCAATACTCACATACTGAGGTCTGGTCAACCCAATTTATCTTGAAATGATGGTTTAAAGCATCCTGACATTCACTGTGGTAAAATGATAGTAGCATTAGCAACAACTATGAATACTTACTGCATTTACCAGGTGTCAGCACACCGGGGCACTTGACAGAAATAACTTCACTTAATCCTCAGAGCAAGCATAAAGGCAACACCAATATGGTTTCTTCTGTACAGGCAAGGAAACTGAGGCCTTGGAGATTAAGTGACTTCCCCCAGATCACACTACTAATTGACAGAAGAGTTTGGAATGCTGTTCAGGGCTGATAACCCCCCAGCTTTACCATCTGGGCATGGAGTCAAATCCATCAGTGTCCCAGTATTTTTCTCCTCACTGAGACACAACCCCTGACACCCACAGCTTAACGGAGGAGAGGTTTATCTTGGTTTCTAGAGCTTTCAGTCCATAATCAGCCAGCTCAAAGGCAGAAAGGGGATGATGGGAATTATGGGGTGGAGAGTTGCTCAGGTTGTAGTGGCCGGGAAGCAGAGAGAAACAAGGAGCCAAGGAGGGAGATGCACTTTTCTGGGTCATGCCCCCAGTGACCTGTCTCTTCCAACCTGGCCTGGCCTCCTAACAGCACACACAGCCTCTAACCTCACCAAAAGATGAATCCCCCAGGCAGTACAGTACCCCATGATTCAAGCACCCTCCAAACACATGAGGCTTTTGGAAGACACCCCAGATCAAAACCATAGCAACTTCTAAGAGGTTCCCCAGTAATCAGAGGTTTTGATCCAGGTAAAGCATTGAGTGGCTGAGAGTTTCAAGTTTTATTGCTGAAATTATTCAAATTGCCTTTTCTATTTCCTTTCCTTCCTCTACTTCTCATTCATTCTGCAACATTGGAATCTTTCAGGGTAGAATGCAACTTAACTGGATCCATTTCCCAGGATTGCTTAATTCAATTGCCCTTTACCCTCATCAACTCGCCCCAAGTTCTGAGGGATAAGGACCAGATATATAATTCATGCAGGAAAACAAATATTTTCCAAGTGCACATTATTGATGGAATTCCCACTCTCAAGTTTAGTTCAAATGCACACCAGCCACCAGAAGCAGGCTACTACTAGCGAAATATTCAAGTCATATTAACAGAAAAAGCAAGCCACAGCAAAATTTGAATAAGATGAGCTCTTTTTAAGACACAATATACATGGAGTGCAAGAAGATATACAGAGGACCAAGAGAATCAGGTAGGACACATAAAGAGAATTAAAATGTACTATATACCAATTCTCCATGATGAATGTAATCATGCTGCTAATGTGTAAAATAAAAAAATTAAATCTTAACAGTATTTATTTCCAGGTGGCTGGTCTAATAGGTAGTTTCTATTTTCTCTGTAGTTTTTGGTATTTTCCAATGTTTACAGGCTATCTATAATCAAGGCAAATCTCCAAAGCCGGATTAATTGTGATTCCCTTCTTCCCAAAGGCTTGCAACTTTGGTGCTCACATCACTGCTCCCAAGGAAATGAGCTCAAAGTTGGCAGTTTTCACCCATCCCGATAGAATCAGGGGTTTGCTCCAAACAAACTCACCTTGCTGGGAAATGAACTTTCTGATCCAAACTTTCTCTGGTTTACAGATCAAACACAGGTGAGAC